GAGAAGTGTGAGCCTTTTCAAATTCTCAGGCCCAGAGAGGCATTACATTGAGACAGCAACCACATTCCGCTTCCTTTTTGTACAATACTGTATTTGAAAAACAAAAAACCAAAACGGCAAGATTCATGAAATTGGACAACTTTCTTTAAAACACTACTACTGGTAAAACCAATAAGGATGGCTGGTTTCCAGTCATCTGAGCAGCCTCTCTAGTTTCATAGATATGATTTCTCCCTGATATTGAAGGGCTTCCAATTTTAAGTGGAATGCTACTTCACAAAGATAACCAGGTTTGAAAGGAACAGGTTTTCCTTGTAATCCTAAACGTTCCAGTCCGCGAATTAAAAGCCATTTTTTGAAGACGGGCGCACAGGCTTCCAGCTCTCCTCCAGAAGGGTCCACCGCAGGACACAGGTTAAGTAGTCCCTTCTCTGGGAGAGACTAGATGCGGGGTCTCGGCGCACCTCTGCAAAGGACAAGGCGGGAAGGAAAGGAGGGACAGGCAGACGTCACGTCCCTCGCCGGCTCCAGCAGCGGGTTGGTCGGCTGAGTGGCGGAGGGTGGGGCGGAAGAGCAGAAGGGGACTGGGAAAGGCACTGTTGGTGACATCACCGATAGGGCGTTCCTATGTAGATGAGGCAGTTCAGGGTTGCTGCTTCGCCACGGAGGAGTTCCCGTGCTGTAGGAGCAAGTCCAGGAGCTGGCTGGACGTGAGAGTCCCAGCTGTGTGTTAGGGCTAGGAGGGCTCGGAATGGTTGGGGATTGGCGGGGATGGCTCTCGGGGCAAGTGACCGTGTAAAGGGTAAGGCGTATGGAGCTGTGGCGGGCGGAGGTACGTAAAAGCCCTTTGCCCGGCAGGGGAAATGCCATGGTCAGCCAAGTGGTTCATCTTTAAGAGTGAGGCTCATCCATTGCACCCCAGATATGCTGTTCTCTGTTATTTCTCCTAATGTGTAAGCTCAGCTGCGTAACTTGCAGTAATGAAGCAGAAGTTAAGGGGAAAAAATAGGTTTTACCATACTTGACTGACTCCAAGGCCAGCAATAGATAGAGCCCTAGCAGATCCTTGGTAACACCGTCTGAAAAGCCAGAGCCCCAAGGAATGAGTTCCAGAGACGGTCTCTACACAGTCCGCCCCTAGCAAGGATAAGAAGAAATAACAACAAATGCCTTTACTGCCTTCTCTTTCCCCCTTACCACTTCTCATTACTCAAGTTGTGTAAGTTCCTGATTTTCCTTCAGTGCAGCTGCAAGGTCACCAGCTATGCTTGCGTTGCAAGACCTGTCACAGTTGAATTAACTGCGTTCTTTCTGCTTCTGTAAGCCCTCTTGCCTGCCCCGCGAATTTCGCGCCATCCCGCGGCGCCATTCAAACTAGCCAACCCCATTGGGAAGAGTGTATAAAAGTCAAGCCCTGTCTTTGTTCCAGGCTCAAACTTTGGATGTTAATCTGCTGGGCCTGAGTGCACTCAAAATCCTCCTGTTCCACCCGTTGGCCTCTCCGGTCTCCTGATTTCCGCAACAATAGTGGGGGGACTGCGTTCGCACTTTCCCCTGGTCTTTCATGGTATGAATGATAGACAACATTTTTATTCTCCTGTAGTCGCAGACTCGGTCTCAGTGATTCTATGGTGTGGTCAGCTGTTTTTGTTTTTGTGAGACCTTGTTTTCTTGTTTACTGTCCTGGGACAGATGTCTGTAGTCACTTGTTTCCTCAGGAGGCAAATTTCAGTCTCTATGGGGGAGGTCTCTCATGTTAGCTGCGGGGGTACTTGGCAGGTGGAGCTCAGGGATTTAGGCTTCCCTGCTTTGTAGACTCCTCAATGGTTCCCAGGGCCTACTGGCTTTCAACACCACTTGAAAACCTCAGGGTTTTTCTGCTATCCCCAGAATCACCTCTTACACAGCCTCAAGCAATCCACCCATCTTGGCCTCCTGAAATTCTGGGATTACAGGTGTGAGCCACCGTGTCTGGTTATAATGCCCTTTCAACTGGACTTTTGAGTATTCTTAAAAATTCCTCAGTGAGGTGGCTCCTTTCCTCCCTGTCCCCTGCCTGAGATAGGACTATCTGGGAATGAGCCTTTCTGGCAAAGAGGGACACCTTGACTGAGCTTTTGATCATCAATGCTTTCAAGAAGAAAGATTTTTAAAAAAAATTTTATCTGAGGAATGTGAGCCCTTTCAAATGATCAGGCCCAGAGAGATGTTAAATCGAGACAGCAACCACTTTCTGTTCCTTCCTTTTGAGCTATGTATTCATCTGTTGAAACTGCTTGCTATCACCTCAAGTAGCTATAAATTATCCTAATAATCCCACACCAAACGCTGTACCCCATACCCTATAACTTAACAACGTATAGCCAATCACCAATCAATGTAATTTCTGTAAACCAATGAGAATTCCTGACAGGCACCTTTCTATCAGCCCACTGTCTGTCCCCGCTTTTGACCTTTAAAATCCTGTTTGTGACAAAGGCCAAAGGGAGCTCAGATCCAACGTTCTTTGGGTGTGAGTCTTCCAGGCAGCTGTCTTCATGTTGGCTCAAGTAAACTCTAAATTATATTTTGTGCCTCAGCCTCTTTCTTTTAGGTCAACATGTTCAACAACAGTCGAATGAATAAATAAGTTAATGTATATTCATACAAAGTAATACACACAGAAACAACCATATGAATCAGATGAAAACTTCATAGACATAAGACTGAGTGAAAGAAATCAAATCTATGCCTCTGCTTCTGAAACTGCCTTTGCAAAAATTATAACTGGGACAATTTTCATGGTGAAAGAGATCTGACCTGATTCCATCTTATTTCTAATGTCCAAGTTGTCCTTGCTCATTCCTGGGTTAAGACCGAAATAACTTTGGGAGGAACTTAGTTTACGGTTTGTCTGTGAAACAAACATGATAATATCCCCCTTCCTGCCTGGGAACTAGACTGCCTTTGCAGGACTAACAAATTAGCCATGAGATTAGAAATTATGGTTTAGGAGTCATGTTAGCCTCTGGCTGCAAGATTCTAAACCTCCCCAAATTGTTCCTGGAGATCACGTCATTATTGGAAAACCTCAGATCAGTGCTTGAGGTATTTTGCTGACCCTGCACTCAGTGGATCAGCTGGCACCAGCTAGACTGATAACCTGGCTCATCTGATCTTGTGGCCCCCACGCGGGAAATAACCCAGCAGAAGACAACAACTTCAGCTCCCTCTGATTTCATCTCCAACCTGACCAATCACAACTCCCAATTCACTGGCCCCCATCCACCAAATTATCCTTAAAAACTGGTCCCAGAATTCTTGAGGAGACTGATTTGAGTAAAAATAAAAGTCTGGTCTCCCACACAGCCAGCTCTGTTTAAATAAATCTTTATTGCAATTCCCCTGTGTCGAAAAATTGGCTCTGTCTAGGCAGCAGGCAAAGTGAACCTGTTGGGCAGTAACACTCCTGCCGCCAAAACCCACTACACACTGTATGACTCAGTTTATATGAAAGTAAAGGGCAGGAAAAACTTGCCTGATAAATTTGCAGAGACGGGGGTGAAAACCATTAATAAGTCTGTGGAGTATTGTCAGAGTTTGGTATTGTAGTCTACATATTAAAAGTAATCAGTTAAACACTTGAAATAAAATTTCCCCCAAATATGTTTGCCAAATTTGGATGACTTTGTTTCTGTCTTTGCAGAATATAAAGTGTTGACATGAGGTAAGCGCTAAGGTCTAGAGAAGGCAGTGGAAGAGATGACAAAACGACTCCAGCACCATGCCTGAGTCCAGTGTGCCCTGCTGGGGCTGCACATTTTTGTACACTGCTGTATTGTTATGCCCAGACCCTCTGTTCCCCAAAGAAGACCACCAGAGTCCAGAGTCAAAGCCAAGCGGCAAGGATCTTTACGACAAGTTCGAAGTTGGTCCCTCCATTACACAGCATACAAGAGGGCCCCGAACAATGCGAGTGTTTGCTTTTTATAGCCCGAAAGTTACAGGGGAACAAAGGAATTCTTTTGGTTCCCGCGCTTTCAGTAAAACTTTGAACGGCTGCCTCCTTATCGGAGACTTTTCCAGGTGGTGTTTGTACTGGGCTCAGGAAGTTTGAGAGATATATGGCGATATGTGGTGGGATGGGAGGATGGGATGTGTTTGTACTGGGCTCAGGAAGTTTGAGAGATATATGGCGATATGTGGTGGGATGGGAGGATGGGATGTGTTTGTATTGGGCTTGTTTGTTTTGAGCCTGGGGCTGAGGAATGTGCCCGGCTCCTCTCAGTATTTGAAAAACCCTACAAGATTCATGAAACTGGACAACCGTCTTTATAACACTCCTAGAGATAAAACAAGTAAGGATGGCTGGTTTGCAGTCATCTGAGCAGCCTCTCTAGTTTCATAGATACGGTTTCTCTCTGATATTGAACGACTTCTAATTTCAAGCAGAAAGCTACATCACAAAGATAACCGTATGTGAAAAGAACCGGCTTTCTGTGTAATCCTAAACTTTCTAGTTTGCGCATTAAAAGCCATTATTTGAAGAAGAGCGCACAGGCTCCAGTTGGCCACCAAAGGGGTCCTTGGCATCACAGGCTAAGAACCTACTTCTTTGGGAGAGACCAGGGGCGGGGAAGGGAGGGGAAGGAGACAGAGGCAGGCGTCATTTCCTCCGCGGGCTCCCGCAGCCGCTTGGTCGGCTGAGTGGCGGAGGGTGGGGCAGAAGAGCAGAGGGGGACCGGGAAAGGCGCTGTCGGTGACATCACGGAGAGGGCGATTCCTATGTAGATGAGGCAGCTCAGGGGCCGCTGCTTCGCCAGGAAGGATTTCTCCTGCTTTGGGAACAAGTCCAGGACCTCCGGTTGGACATGAGAGTCCCAGCTGTGTGTCAGGGCTAGGAGAGCTGGGAGTGGCATGGGGGGTGTGAGGGTTGGGGTGCGCGGGGCAAGTGACCGTGTGTGTAAAGGCTGAGGCATATGGAGCTGTGGCAGGGTGGAGACGTATGAACTCATACTTACCTGGCAGGGGAGATACCATGATCACGAAGGTGGTTTTCCCAGAGCGAGGCTTATCCATTGCACTCCGGATGTGCTGACCCCTGCGATTTCCCCAAATGTGGGAAACTCGACTGCATAATTTGTGGTAGTGGGGGACTGCGTTCGCGCTTTCCCCTAAATTTTGTAGTGCTAAAAGCAGGTTGGGTACAAAGGAGGATATGTTTCTTGTTTTCATTGGCATGTAGGTTCCGTGGTGTTGTGTTATTTTTGTATCCGGATGGCAGGAAAACAGGAAGTAATATGTCGCCGCCGTTCCAGTCGACCGCACGGCTTCTTCCTTTCTACTTGAGGCTAATTGTTGCAGAGATTGGTCCATGGTCTCCAGTTTCTTGGGGTCTCACGCTCTGCAAAAATCTTAGTATTTCTCACTAGCTCCCGGTCACCTTTTACACAGCCTCTGCTTCTAACCGCCGTCCCTACAGGAGTTTGTAGGATTTCTGTGCTAGCGGGGAATGTGTTCTCGTAACACTCTTACTTTGTGGAGGGGAACAGGTCTGCCGGCCCCCAGGTGTCCTAACTCAATTCATCCCGAGGCTCGCTGGTCAGAACCGCAGTCTCACCTGTCTTGGCAAAATGCGCTGCGATCCTCCCTGAAATATAAGGCGGAAAACTTTATGCGGAGCCGTGTCCGCTGTCTCCTGCCGTTTACGTATCTAGGCTTTTTTCAGACCTCATTTAAGCGACAGCTTCTTGTTTGATGTCTCGCTTCCACATCCAATATCCATTGCCAGGCAACTTTCTAGATAGCATCCCGACCCATCCTTCCCACCTCCAAGCAGCCCTTTCCTATCTCTGGCGCCAGTGTCCTTCCCCGTCCCTCTTTTCTTCAGGCCCTCGCTTATCTCCTTCATGGGCAGAGAATACTTAGCTGTCTCTCAACCTGCGTTTTGCGCTTGACATGCATCAGTACCCTGGCAAATTCGGACGTTTCCTTAATACTCCTTCTCAAATGGCATTGTAAATTCATCTTTTTAACTCCCAGTCCCTGCACTACTTGAGCACGAGAATTGCACTACAGAAGAAAACCGCAAGCCTAGTGAAAAAAACCCAGGCTGGCGGTTCTGGGCATTTTGCCAGCCTCTCCCAGGTTATGTTTTCTGACCCCACCCACTTCTGATCTGTAATGTCCTGGTCAATAGAAACTGCCTGGCTCAAACGTAAAAGGCAAGGCGAACCACGGCAGGAAGGCCTATGGCGTCCCCTGGTGGCTACCCTGGGGACGGCACTCGTAGATCCGCGCGTCCCGAGAAGCCTCTGCCATCCCGACCCGGGTGAGGTGCAGAAACCCGCGGCTGCAAAGAAAACCGGCTAGAAAGCACAGGACGCCCAGCGAGTGTTCAAGACACTGCGAGTGGAAGCCGTACGTCCTACGGACTGATCTAGTTTGAGGAAGACGAGCCATTTACTTCTAACCCCAGCAGCGGACATTGCCTTGCTCAAATATATATGAACAAAGACTGAAAACAACTTTCATTGCGTTACTGACGAGCAAACGGGTTCTTAGAATGTTTAAGAAATGTCCTTTGTTTCGGGACCGTCATCACTAAGGTATGCTTGGGATTCCTAATTGAGGAGTTTCTGAGCAAAAGCAGCCGACCAATCCAGTGGCTGAGAACTGCTTCGATATTGGCTTCCAGGCACATCAGAAATACCGAGGTTCTGACGAAGACGTGAGCTTCTGTCTGCCTTTGGAAAGGCCTTCTTCCAGTCCTGGCGCTGCCACTTGCCTTCTGTTTGACCTTCGGCCAGCCAGGTCCTTCAATTTGCTAGGCCTCCAGTTGGAAAGTGTCACATGAAAATAATAATAATGTGCTATTAGAGTTATTGCACAGATTACAGAAGACAATCTAATAGTACAGCTAGCATCGTGTGTGGCTTACATTAAAGGTTTGCTGATAGGAAACAATATCCCAGATAAGGTTTTTCCCCCTTAATTATGAAATATAGTAAAGAAAATTGTGTGGACTTCTGCTTCAGGCCTCAACATTTTTCAAAACACATTTGCATGAATTTTGTACTTGTGAAGGTGACATCCTTCTACAAAATAAGTTAAAACTAAAGAATGACAAATGGAATTTACAGAATATATATTCACAAAAAGAACTTGTTCCTAGCAGCTTTGTTTACAATAGTCCCCAAACTGGAAACGGTTCATATGTATCAAGAGGTGAATGGACCTATTGTGATATATTCATCCAATGGAAGATGGGACAAGTCATGGAAACATGAAATAGCATGGGTGAATCTCAAAAACCTCATGCTGAGTGATGAAAAGAGTGCATTCTGTGCGGTGCCATGAAGCTGAATTTCTAGAACAGGTGAAACTAACCTGTATAGTGACAGAAACTACATCATTGATTGCTGGGGACAGGGAGTCGAGGGGACTGACTGCAAAGGGCACAAGAGGACCTTTTGGAGTAATAGACATGTCATCAAATTTGAAATGAGCCGGGCGCGGTGGCTCAAGCCTGTAATCCCAGCACTTTGGGAGGCCGAGACGGGCGGATCACGAGGTCAGGAGATCGAGACCATCCTGGCGAACACGGTGAAACCCCGTCTCTACTAAAAAAATACAAAAAAACTAGCCGGGCGAGGCGGCGGGCGCCTGTAGTCCCAGCTACACGGGAGGCTGAGGCAGGAGAATGGCGTAAACCCGGGGGGCGGAGCTTGCAGTGAGCTGAGATCCGGCCACTGCACTCCAGCCCAGGCGACAGAGCCAGACTCCGTCTCAAAAAAAAAAAAAAAAAAAAAAAAAAAAAAAAAAAAAAAAAAAATTGAAATGAATGCATTGTATCATATTCAACCAATGCCTTAATCAATTTGATTGTAAACAGTAATAAGAAAACCACTGCAGGTTGGGCGTGGTGGCTCACGCCTTTATCCTAGCACTCTGGGAGACTGAGGCAGGCAGATCACCTGAGGTCAGGAGTTTGAAGCCAGAGGGGTCAACATGGTGAAACCTCATCTCTACTAAAAATACAAAAAAAAAGAAAAAAAAATTAGCTGGGCGTGGTTGTGGGCGCCTGTAATCCCAGCTACTCGGGAGTCTGAGGCAGCAGAATCTCTTGAACCTGGGAGGTGGAAGTTGCAGTGAGCCTAGCTCACACCACTACACTCCAGTCTGGGTGACAGAGTGTGTGATGCCACGCAAAAAAAAAAAAAAAAAAAAAAAAGATAAAAATAAAAGGCCAGATGCAGTGGCTCATGCCTGTAATCCCAGCACGTTGGGAGGCCTAGCTGGACAGATCACGAGGTCAAGAGATCGAAACCATCCTGGCCAGCATAAGGAAAGCCCATCTCTACTAAAAATACAAAAATTAGCTGGGTGTGGTGGCGAGAACCTGTAGTCGCAGCTACTTGGGAGGCTGAGGCAGGAGAATCACTTGAACCTGGGAGGCGGAGGTCGCAGTAAGCCGAGATCATGCCACTGCACTTCAGCCTGGGTGACAGAGCAAGACTCCGTCTCAAAAAACAAACACACAACAACAAAAACAAAACCACTGCAAATCATAATGCATTCTACTTAATTTCATGTGCGTTTAGCTTTAGAAGATTCTTTTAGAAAAGTGTCTCTTGAAATGTGATTGGGAGTTCAGGAATTCCTTCATTTGTGTTTCTATCTCTTTGTCTTCAGTTAAATTCATGCACTATTAAATGGAATATTTATAAAATCAAAATACAGTCTAAGCTCAATTTTACAAAAACATATATATATATATAAAATACATATAACTCCCATATATATATATAGTTTTCTTTATTCTATTTTTTCTTTTGTGGGTGTGTGGGCGGGGGACAGTCTAGCTAAAATACACATTCTTCTCTCTATAGATATACCAGAAGAACATGACTCGATCAGTGTTGCCCTAATGTTAACAAAAGTTATTTTGAACTTAAGGTGATCAGAAATTTTACATATCTGCACTTTTTCTGTATTGGTGGTATGGTCTATGCTAAGCATGTATAATTTTGTTTTAAAAAAATGAGAGTAACTTTAAAATTGTTTGGAAGACAAATATGTACATGTGAACAGTACTTAATTCCAGGTGATGGGAATATGGATGACTGGTTATCTTTTTCTTTCTGTGTCTTCTATATTTTTAAATGGAAAACTCAATGACCTGGAAGTGAAAGAACAGATTAGATTTGGAAGGGGTGTGGGGCAGGTGAGAGGAAAATGTAAAGGGAAGGACAAACCCAGTTCTGGCAGGACCGTGTTTAAATTGAAGGTTTCTGGGGATCAGTTGTTGCGATAAGAAGGAAATGGGGAGGCAGGAAAATCATGAAAATATTTAGGACAGTGTATTGCCTGTCTCATCATTCCTCCTCCTTTTGTGTGTCTTCAAAAGAAATACACAGACTTACATTTCTTTTCAAGCTTGCTTACCATTTGTGTTTCTCTTTTATTAGTGTAACTGGCCTGTAGATTTATCTTGCTGGTTGCCCAGAAAAGCCAATGGAGCTGAGAACAGCAGGCTTTCTACAATAGAGAAAGAATTTAATAAAAGCAGAGGCAGCTGAGGGACCAGGACAGGGGTTTATTATTACTCCAATCTGCCTCCCCCCAAATTCAGAGACTAGGGTTTTATTGTTGTTTTGTTTTTCGGATAGTCTGGCGGGCAGGGGGCTAGGGAATGGGCAAAGCTGATCGGTTGGTTTGGGGGATGAAATCACAGTGTCAGAGCTTGTTTACTACACTCAGTCAGTCCCTGGGTGAGGGCCACAGGACCAGATGAGCCAGTTTACCGGTCTGGGTGTGCCAGCGAGTCCATCATAAGGCAGGGTCTGAAAAATACCTTGAACACCCTGTCAAATCTTAGGTTTGATACCAATAATGTTATATAAAGGCACAGTTGGGGAGCTTAGGAATCACGTGGCTTCTGGCTACATGGCTTCTGAGCCATAATTTCCAATCTCGTGCCTAATTTGTTAGCTTTGCTAAGGAGGTCTGATCCCCAAGATAGGAAGGGGTTTGTCTGGGGAAGGGGTAATCATCTTTGCTTCAGACTTAGACTTGGAACTAAACTCCTCTTATAGTTAGCCTGGCCTATGCCCCGGAATGGACAAGGGCAGCTCAGAGGTTAGAAGTAAGATGCGGTCAGTTAGGTCAGATTTCTTTCACAGTCGTAGTTTTCCTATGCCAGGTTTTTCTCACTGTCATAATTTTTGCAAGAGTGGTTTTGTTAGGAGCAGTATAAACGCAGTGGTTCTGAGACTGTCCTCTGGAGCCAGGCTGCCTTCACTTCAAATTCCTGCTTTCAAATCCTCCTTTGCTGGCTGAGTGACTCTGGGCAGGTCACTTAATGTCTTTGTGCATCTCAGTTTTCTCATATGGAAGATGAAGGTGATGGTGTGACCTCTGCCTGAGGTAAGGACTAAATGAGTAAACATATGCACATCATCAACTGTGCGTGACATGTGGCACTTTGTGTTTCAGGCACAGTTGATGATGTGCATATGTTACTCATGTGCATGTTAGCTCTTGTATTTTGCCTGCAACACTGCACAAAGAGCAGATGTGATGAAAACCGGTTGCACAGAAGTTATAGCCATGATACTTTCCAGTGACCCTGCACCCTCCCAGGGAGACTGCAGTAATCCTCTCACCAGCAGTAACCTCCTGGGCTGGGAGATCCCAGGAAGGCCCCTCAATCTCCAGCAGGTTTGATCCTCAAGGAGCTTCACGGAAGGAGCTAGAGAAGTATTTCTATCTGGGAGGAGCTGGGAGTTTATTAGCTCATCCAAAGGGGAATAATGATTCAAATTCTTGCTTCAAATCTGCCCCAATAAAATTTTTATAGTTTTACAGTGGAAGACATTTGTACATGTAGGGGAGGAAATATGACTTTTCCTCACCCAGCCTAGCTTCACTGCTGAGACCCTTACAGCAAAACACAGACCAACAAGAGAAGAGCATATGTATTTATTGAATGTAAGTTTTACATGACAGGAGTGCCTTCCAAAGGAAACGAAGGCCCATGGAAACAGCTAAACCTCAGGGTTTTTTTTTGTTGTTGTTTGTTTGTTTGTTTTTTAACAGTAGTTTTATTGAAGAATGGATGGTCACGGAGAAGTATGGTAAGACAATAAAACTATGATCTAACAGTAACAAACTGGGGAAAATGTAGCCAGGCCTCTGTGTTCAGGCTCCTCTGTGTCCCTGGGTCTTCAGACTCCAGAATGCACCTTTCCTCTGGGTACAGAGAGGGCACCTCTCACATAAGGGTCTTACAATTGACTTCAGGGACGAAGGGCAGGGGGAGGTGACAGTGACCTTCCTGCTTCTGTTGTTTACTCAAATTTCTTTAGCATAAAATATTCAATACCCTAAGATGTTATATTTTGGAGTAGCATGTCCTGAACCCCATCATGCTCATGCAACAAAACCCAGTCATTGAAGAGCGATGACTACAAAATATTTAAATTCAAAATACAAATGATGGCCAAGTGGGGTGGCTCATGCCTGTAATCCCAGCAGGGAGGTGCAGGGAGGCCCAGGCAGGAGGATCACTTGAGTTCTGGAGTTCCAGACCCGCCTGGCCAAAATGGTGAAACCCCTCTGTACTAAAAATACAAAAATTAGTCCAGCACGTGGTGCAAACCTGTTGTTCCAACTACTTTCAGGGGGTGGGGAACCAGTGGGCTGAGGATCAACGGAAATAATATCATATTTACAAGTTTTTTTTTTTTTCCTATAAGGCTAGTCAATGAAGCAGTGGAAATGGAGAAGGAACAAAGAAACCTGTAACTGGTTGTGATCAATTCTTTGTAAACAGGAATGAATTTTTTATGCATTATACTCTGTTATCAAAGTTACATATGCTGCAAAGCTGGAGGTGAACAGCAGCGCCCAGGTCCCTTCCTACACTTATCTCTAGGGATAACAATTTTTAATGTGTGCAACCAACCTGTACATAAATATTGTTACTCTTCGACTGTCCAATTTTCCATCCCAGGCCCTGCAGTCCAGCCTGCAAGGGGAAACAGAGTTTGTGTTTCCTTACCTGCCAGTCCACTCTAAGGAGCCAAGAAGGCGTCGTCTCACCCCCCACTCCCGGCTTGTCCTCCAAACTCGTCCTCAAAGACTGCGGTGTTTTTCAGTCCTTCGTAAGCGCTCTCAGCCGCAAAATATGAAAATCAGAGCTATGTTCTTGAGTGCCTGGAGTGACATCTTAGTTCCCAAGACCGACCCATCAGGAACCTCATCCCAAGTGCTCTGAAGAGCAGGAGAGAACATTTTAACTCTGGTAGCGTCCTAAGGCGTCTTCTCCTTGGGGCAGGGTTCTGACGGGACGAGGGGGAGCCCCACTGTCAGGGACTCGCCCCTCAGAGCTGCTCAGGCTCCTCTTCCCCGTGGTGCCGCGGGAGTTGGGAGTTCGGCTAGGGCGGAGGAGGATCGGAACCCGCGCTCCCAGGCCGTGTGCTTGAAGAGGCCGCCGTGCGAATTTCTCTTTCCGGCTGAGATCTTGGGACGAAAGAATGAAATTTCCCGGAGTCAGGTCCCAAAGCTTAGTGAAACAGCGACTTTTAGGGCCCGCAATGGAGACGTAGGAGCTAGAAATTCGGCATAAAAATCTGAATATGAAGAACAGAGTAAATTAACATTCAGAATCAGATGGACCATGTGAATAAAGCAGTGCTACTCCCAAGTTAGGTCTCCAACCATCGATCCTAAGCTGAGACACAATCTCCAATGACTGAGCTAACCCCATCAAAATTTCTTACGCCACCGTTTACTTACCAAAATGACAATGGGTGCCATTACGAGATTTCCTGGGTGAAAGGAATCTCCGGGTCTAGGATTGAGGGGCGACAGCCTTTTTAGTGAAGGAGACCTCTCACCCCGAGGCCCAGGGTCGCCCTGAGACGGGTGAGCACTTGCTGGGTCGTTGGATCCCTGGCGGGGGTGTCCGGGCCAACGGTTGCTGGGTGCCGGGAGGCTGGCCCTGGAAGGGGACCCTCCAGGCTCGGTGACCCCGACTGGATGATTGGGCGATTTCCCTGTGGTCCGGGTCACTGTGAGAACCCGGTTTCTGGGATCCCGAATGCGGAAGAGGGAGACGAAGAGAGGACAAGGCGCCGGGTACACAGCGAGGCTCAGACAGCGGGAGCAGAAGGGACACGGAAGCCCGCAGCTCGGAGTTTCTGAACGTCAGCAGTAAAACACGGCGTTACGGTCCTAATTAAACAGAAAGGTTCCACCGAGACTCGAACTCGGATCGCTGGATTCAGAGTCCAGAGTGCTCACCATTACACCATGGAACCTCACGGTGCAGAGTGGCCGGAGGTGTCTGAATTCCTAATAAGTAGCAATAGTTCCCACCCACCCATGTCAAGGCATTTCTATTATGCCACAAGCAACACTCAAGGAGGAGCAGGAAGGAGCCATCCTTCTTGCTTTCTCTCTGCTCTCTCCTTTGATCGACTTCTATCATTTCATTTGCACCTCGGAAAATGAGGCAAAAATCCGCTCTGGGTTTAGGGCCAGAGAAGAGACCCTGAAGCCTTGTTCATAGAGTTTCCTGTGCCGAGGTGAAATTTCTTTCTTCCTTTCTTCGTTTCTTTCTCTTTCTTTCATTCTCTCTCACTTTTCTTCTTTCTTTCTTTCTTTTTCTTTCTTTCTTTCTTTCCTTCTTTCTTTCTTTCCTTCTTTCTTTCTTTTCTTTTCTTTCTTTCTTTCTCTCTCTCTCTCCTTTCCCTCCTTCCTTTCCTTTCCTTCTTTCCTTCCTTCCTTGCTTCCTTCCTTCCGCTTTCCTTCTCCCTCCCTTCCTCCCTTCTTTCCTTTTTCTTTTTCTTTCTTTCTTTTTCTTTTCTGTTCTTTTCTTTTCTTTCTTTCCATTGAGACAGCATCTCCTTCTGTTGTTCAGGCTGGAGTGCAGTGCAGTGGCAGTGGGCCATCTCCCCTCACTGCAACCTCCGTCTGCCGGGTTCAAGTGATTGTAATCCCCAGTAGCTGGGATTACAAGTGTGGGCCACCATGCCTGGTGAAAGGTTGTATATTTAGTAGAGATGAGGTTTTGCCATGTTGGCCAGGCTAGTCTTGAACTCTTGACCTCAAGTGATTTGCCCACCTTGGCCTCCCAAAGTGCTGGGATTACAGGTGTGAGCCACCACACCCAGACAGGAGATGAAATTTCTGCAAAATTTCTGTTATTTTCTTTTTGCTTTCCCTCTTTTCTGTTTGCCCAAGGAGGCCAGATGGTTGTCAAAACAGGACATGGGACGTCCTGGGCGCCTTGCCTCCTTCCTCCCTGTAGTATATAACAGAAGACAGCAATCAAATGAGATTGGGAAGCAGGGAATCCTTCACTGTCTTGTTCATATACTTCTATGTTTGTTTGTTTGGTTGGTTTTAATAAAATTTTCTCACCAGAAATGGAAATTTTTTGGATTTAAAATAAATGCAGTCAGCCACATTTTACATTTCTATAAAACACTCAAACCAGGCCATACTCACCTGCTATGACTCAAAATCAGCCATATACTGTCAAGGTCAGGAGGCAGGGCCCTGACATTTAAGCACAGTGTGTTTTCTCAGAATTGGCCAAGTTGATGCCATTCCAATTTCTCAATATCTCATGACCCATTAATTGTGGTCTTTAAAAGTGTACATGTATTGTTACTGAAAGGCCAAGTGTTTGCTCTAGGCCCTGCTGCTCAGCTCACAGAAAGCCAATCATTCAGACGTTGAGTATTGCCAAGGAAGAAGGCTTTAATTGGGTGCTGCAGCTGAGGAGATGGGAGATCAGTCTCAAATCAATCTTCCTGATCAACTAAAGTGAGGGGTTTATGTATCAGGGAAGAAACATAACTGTGTGTGGGAAAAGAGGAACTAGGGAAGGGTGAGGAAGCATTTCATGATGAGTGAGGGGGCTGACATCTTATTGTCTGGAGGCTGTGATCTGCTGAGGTTCGGGTCTATGATGCTTTTTGAGAGGCCTGAGGGTCCTTTCCTAAGGAAGGAACTCAGATAAAACAATGTAACTTTCAAGCTTCAAGACTTGCAGGGTGCATTTCTACGTCTATCCAAAAACACTGTCTGTGGGACTATTGAAAATAGTGGGACTATTGAAAACTGAATTCTATTCAGTACCCATTTTCTATTTGTCAATTCCTCAATCATGGGGAATCTGGTCGTCCATCTTTCAGGCTGCATCATGTGGAGAAAGGGCATCCTGAGCAACTCCACACCATGGGTGACTGCATGGCCACCAAGGAATCAAACGTTCATCTAATACTGTAGTTTCTCCTGAAACACAATAGTCCTCTCTCCAGTTCCCTATTTCCACTAAAGACAAAACACAGCAGGACCAACCTACCTAAAAAAGAAGCTTCAGTCCCATATACTTGGCCTGATTACCCACACAAAGTGCGGCAAGAATGTTCATATAGGCGCTCCTAAAGAGGCTTTGCTGTAACATTTCACAATGCCATTTCAGGTAAAGCCCTGGGAAAATTACCAATTCCTCCACCTGTGTCAGATTATAAAAGAAAACAGAATCATATTGAACTTACGCAAACAAACACATTGTCATGAGTTAAGAATATTCAGTTTACAAATTCTGGAGAAATTCAGCAGAGAGAGAAAAATATGCCTCAAATTCTGTTTAGAAGACTATTGTACTCAATTGTTGCAGGCTATAAATAGCTCAAAAGAAAAAAAGTTCTCCAGACTCTGAAGAATAAACAACGTTTCAAACAAACAAACAAACAAACAAAGGCCGTAAAAACTTACTTCAGTCCTCTATTAGTTTAATCCATGCAATCAACTCCTGCTCTGCTTCATACTGGGCTAGCAATCTCTATGAACACATCAGCCTTTCTATTAGTGCCTTGGAAATTTTCTCTTTAGTTCAATGGCATGATCTCCAAAGTTATCAGAAGCCTGCATCCAAGAGTCTTTTTCATGGACTTCCCCCAAAAAACAAGGCCTGGACTGTAACTGATTATAAGTCACTTTTTGAGAAGAATCAAAGCAAAACAACAATTGTGGATGACAAAACCTTAAGACAGCCATAGTCATAGACACAGTTGACAAGGGAATTTGGTTGCTTCTGTGGCACACAATTTAACATAATAATCATAATTATTACTGACAGCATATCAGAACTCTAGGAATCTCACACAATCCTGGAACACATATTAACAACACATCTGTGTCAACAGAACCCAAAGGAAGTGAAACACCACTTCAGATTTGACAATGCTTCTTGCATAATTCTAGCATAACAAATAAGCCTAAGAAGCCTAATATATCTATCTTGGACTTCAAGAACCTAATATCCAAAAAGTTAATTTGAGGTCCAAAAGGCTTAATATGGAAATTTTACTCTTAGAAAGTTTGCCAAATATCCAAGTTTTGAGAGACTTGATATCACAAAATAGGATCACAGGTCACCTTAAAATAGTCAATCATTTAGCCAAAAGGTAAGCAAAAATTTTATATCTATTATTAATATTACACAAACATTTTGACCAAAAGAGAAAACTAAATTTTACCTTTGTGTGGTATATTAAAATGTTAAAGATAATTTTAATAAAACCTTATACACAAATTTAATTATAATCAGTTTAACCATAAGGTAAGTGTTTCATAAACTTTTCATGACGTTTTATAC